ATGCCTTGGCCTTCCCTGTGGGGTGAGGGTTCCCCTAAATTTGGCGAGTCGGGGCATGTTTGTGGCGCTGCCGGGGAGGACGGACGGACGGACGCTGCATACCAATAGGTCCCATGACTTTTCGGGCTTGTTTAAGGCCTTTCTTGCTCCCGCTTCACCCAGCCCAGCTGGTTTTCCCACTCTGCCCTCCTCTTCAATATGGGGTTTGTTCGCCGTGGATGACGGTATCCGTACGGGGGGCTCACGGATGGGACCTCTGGGAGGTCAGGACGGGGATGCTGAGGTATTTTGGGGAGGGAGAATGTTTTGGGGAGTGCCCTCCCCCAGAAAATCATGTTTTTACACTTTTTCCCTGCCTTTTTTGGCTTAGAACCAGCAATGAGGAGCAATGCACGTGCATAGACTCTCGTGATGCAGTTTTGCATCTGAGGGGGCTTTGTCTGGACAAGAGCATCCCATGGGGGTGGGGGTGGGATACGAAATCCTTCCCCCCCCACCATTTTTTGGGGAATTAAGGTATCTTTGCAAAGCATTCCAAGCACTGGCGTCTCTCCCTCCCAGGCAGTTTTTGCAGGGCAATGATACAACTTTGCCAAGGGTTGCCTCGACTTGCCTCCCACCCCCTGCATTTTTGCAAGTGATGTGTGCATTTTTGCGAAGGGTTGCATCGACCTGGCTGCAGGAGAGCATTTTTGGGGGTGGTAGATGAATTTCTGCAAAGGGTTGCACTGACCCAGCTGCAGGAGAGCTCCTGCCCAAGCCCTGCACATTTTGGGGACACCACATGCATTTTTGCAGAACCTAGGAACAGGAGGTGTGCCATCCACTCCTCCTCCTTGCATTTTTGGGGTGATGCATGCATTTTTGCAAAGGGTTGGTTACATTGACCTGGCTGCAGGAGCACTCCCACCCCCAAGGCAGCATCTTCACAGGGGGTTGTATCGACCCACCTCCCACGCCCAAAGCAATTTTGGGGGTGATTCCTTGATTTTTACAATGGATCTGCAGGAAGGCTCCCACCCCTCATGCACTTTTGGGGTCAGGCGTGCATCTTTGCAAAGATGGAACCAAGCTGGGCACCTTGGGGGTGCTCAGCACAGCTCCAGCTTGGGGTTTCCCTGTTTCCTCCACGCTCGGCACCCCACTGTCTCTCCCCACGCCCCAAGGTCTGCTGGCAGGGGTGAACATCACCAGCCCCACGCCGCTGGTGCGCGGCACGGCGGGCAAAGCGGCGCTGCTGTCGGTGCGCTACGCCAGCGCCAGCGCGGACAAGCCGGTGGTCAAGTGGCAGCTGAAGAGGGACAAACCCGTCACCGTGGTCCAGTCCATCGGCACCGAGATCATCGGCAACCTCCGGCCCGACTACCGCGACCGCATCCGCGTGCTGGAGAACGGCTCGCTGCTCATCAGCCCCTTGCAGCTGGCTGATGAAGGCGCTTACGAGGTGGAGGTGTCCATCACCGACGACACTTTCACCGGCGAGAAAACCATCAACCTCACCGTGGACAGTAAGGGCACGAAGGACATCCGGGGGAGACTGGGTTATCCATGGGGTGGCTTCCCTGAGCACATACTGGGAGGGCTTTCTCCAGCTGGGAGGTGGTTTTGGGGGTTTCAACCACCTCATGCTGGTGGGGTTTTGATGTCTCTCTTCCTGCACCCTGAGCCCATCCATCCCCTGAAGCGTGGCATCACCGTGGTTCCTCTACTTGCCCACAGTTCCCATCTCAAAGCCACAAGTGCTGGTGGCCTCCTCAACGGTGCTGGAGCTCAGTGAGTTCTTCACCCTCAACTGCTCACATGAGAACGGCACCAAGCCCACCTACACCTGGCTGAAGGACGGGCGGCCGCTGAGCAACGACTCCCGCCTGCTCCTCTCCCCTGACCAGAAGATCCTCACCATCACCCGTGTTCTCATGGCTGACGATGACGTCTACAGCTGCCTGGTGGAGAACCCCATCAGCCATGGCCGCAGTGTCCCCGTGAAGCTCACTGTTTACCGTAAGCCACCCTTCTCCCCTCCTGCACTCCCAGATTTGGCCATCCCTTGCAGATGCTTTCAGCTAAAATTTTTGGGGGGCTGTCCCCCCTCATTCCTCTCCTGCAGGCCGGAGCTCTCTCTACATCATCCTGTCCACAGGCGGCATCTTCCTTCTTGTCACCTTGGTGACAGTTTGTGCCTGCTGGAAACCCTCCAAGAAGTATGTGGGGCAATAACATGAGAGACAAAAGAGTTTATCTCATCTTGTCCCATCCTGGTTTTTCCCATTTCATCTTTTCCCATCCCATCTTGTCCTTACCATCCTATTTGTCCTCATCTTGACACATCCTACCCTATGCCACGCCAAGACGTGCCATGCTGTGCTCTGGCGTGCCATGCCGTGCTGTGCCGTCCCATCCCATCCCATCCCATCCCTGCAGTACTTGACCCTCTCCTGGATGAGCCACAGGCAGTTCCCCCACTGCCTCTAACACGATGCCAGTGCTGCCCCATCCATCCCCTTTCCCTTTCCAGGGAGAAGCGACAAGCAGAGACACAGCCAGCCTCTGACTACGCCGAGCAGGACGAGGAGCGCCTGAAGCACGAGGGTGAGTGCCGGCCTCGGCGTGGCGGCGGTGGGCTGGGCAGCACCAATGCTCCTGGCATGCTGAGCAGCACCTTGCTTCCTCACAGCCGAAGGCATCCCGCGGAGCGGCGAGCACGAGCGCAAGAACCCGGTGGCTTTGTACATCCTTAAAGACAAGGTGAGAGCCAGCAGCACCAGTAGCACGTCAGCAGCGTCCCAGCACAGGGATCCCACGTTTTCCTCCTCTTGTCTGTCGGCAGGACTCGCCGGAGGCGGAGGAGGATTCACTGCCTGAACCCCGCGGCACGGTGGAGCCAGGCTACACCAGCTCGCCAGTACCAGCGGCCGGCCGCTCGCCGGGACCAGTGGGGCGCTCGACCCGGCGTTACCATCGCTCGCCAGCTCGCTCGCCCGCCTCGACGCGGACCCACCGGTCACCACCGGGCTCGCCGGCACGCTCCCGCGGCGCTCCGCGGCTGCTGCGGACTGCCGGCGTGCACGTCATTCGGGAGCAGGAGGAGGCCAACGCCGTGGAGATCAGTGCCTGAGCAGGGGGACCGTGCGCGCCTTGGTGGCAGCGTGCAAGCGGGCAGGGACACCAGCACGGCCACCGAGCAAGCGGGGACACCGGCACAGCCCTGCTCCCGCCACTGGGCGTCATTCTGCTCGGCGTAAAGTCACTAATTTCCTATTGATCCCACCCAGAGCTCCCCTCTTCCGTCCCCCGTCTTCCTGGGGCATCGCTTTAATGGCTTTCTCGCCGGGACGAGTGTGCAGGGAGCGTGCAGAAAGCACACGCGTGTGCAGAGAGAACATGCAATCAGTGCACGGAGAGTGTGTGCAGAGGGTGCATGGAGTATGCAGAGGGAGCGTTCGAGCACTGCACATGTGCATGGAGCGTGCAGGAGAGAACATGGACTGTGCACACGGGGGCAGGCACGAGGGTGTGCAGCAGGTGTGCACACTGTGCGAAGAGGATGCACAGAGCTTGCAAGAGAACACGTGGAGCCCATGGAGAGAACACACACAGAGCAGGCAGCTAAGGCTGCACAGGGTGCACAGGGCGTGTGTGGCGTGTGCAGAGCACCCACTGAGCCTGCATGGCCTTTGTGAGCGTGCCAGCCCTGCGTGTGTGTTCCAAGCGTGCACAGAGTCCGTGCAGAGAGCGCCTGTGCAGAGCGTGCAGGGAGCGTGGGGAGGGAACATGCACGCAGCATGTGGCGAGTGTGCAAAGAGGGTGAGCAGAGAGGGTGTGTGCAGTGCTTGCACGAAGCACACACAGAGCGTGCAAGGTGTGTGTGGAAACAGCGTGCACAAAGCGAGCAGCTGAGTGTGCTCGGAGCATGCGCAAGAGTGAACCTGCAGTGCTGGCACAGGGCACGCGTGGAGCCTGCAGTGAGTGTGCAAAGAGTGCGTGTGCTGTGCTTGCACAGGGTGTGCGTGTTGTGTGTGGAGAGAGCGAGCACAAAGCAGCTGAGCATGCTTGGAGCGTGCACACGCACACGGGGAGCACTCACACTGCACGCCCAGCGACCCTGCATGCACACGTGTGTGCAAGAGCACGGTGCCCGCCCGCCGTGGCACAGCCCCCATGCATGGAGCAGGACATGCACTGGCACACAAGCTCGCCCAAGGGCACAACACACAGAGGCCACCCTGGTCAGGCAGTCTAAACAGGGGGCTCCCTCCTGCTCCCCGGCTCCCCAGCTGCCATGTCCCCTAAACGTGGGCTGGAAGCCCTGGTCCAAGCATTGCCCCTTTGCCATGGTAGGATTTTCTGTGAAAATCCCCCGGTTTTGGGGCACACGGCGCTGTCTCTCCCCAAGCCTTCATGGGAAATAGGTTTAGGATGAAAAGCAGAGAGCAGCCGGCCAAGTGAGCCGGGCCCTGGGGCACCTGGGGTGGGTGCCGGGGCACCCCGGAGTGCTCGGGGTGCACTACTAACCAATAAACTAAACATACTACCCGTCTGGTGGTGGCACCTTTGGGTGTCTTTGTGGGACAGGGGTCCCCCAGGGTGAGGGGACACATGAGAAGCGGCTGACAGGTAAGACCACACAAACCCGAGACACCTGGCTGGCACTCAAACTGGCATGGGAGACCTTGGACTGTTCCCTCTGGTGCCTACTGACGGCATCCTCAGCTGAGACCCCGTTTCTTCTTAATTTGTTTTCCTCTGAACATGGCGAAGGAAAAGGGGAATTTATTCTGACTAATTAAATTCATTAACTGCTAGTGTCCCCCACTCTGCTGTCTCCGGGTGCTGCCAGTGCCACCGTGGCCGGCACTCCCACTGCCACAGGATGGCTGAGATGTTTTTGTTCACCGTCCCCTTCCCCCCCCTCCGGCATTTCCCGGCCCCCGCATCCGGCTATTGTACCCCCCCATCCGGAGCCGGATCCAGCCCCGGTGCTGGCGGGGAGGAACCGGGATTTCGGGAGGAAACGGGAAGGCTGGCCAGGGCCGGCATGGCCGGCGGCTGGGAGACAGCTCTGGGCCTGGGGCTCTGCCTCGCCGCCCTGCACCACGGAGGTGAGTGCAGCCCACGGGGGCCAAAATCCACTTAACCCTGCCCCTGCCCCACCCCGGATCTGAGAGCCTGCCCACTTGGGGCACCTGCTGGCATTCCCCCACCTCCTTGTCACCCGACAGGCTGCCGCTTCCCCAGCGTGGCCACGGCACCCCAAACTCCAGCTGGTAAGGACACCTGGTGGGTGGGAGATGCAGGTGGGCAGACACCAGAAAATCCTGTTCCCCCCACCCACAATGTGCCCTCCCCACCGCAGTGCTGCGGGACAATTTCCGCCTGCAGCCGGGTGATTTGGTGACCACAGCGGGACAAGCATTGGAGCTGGATTGTGTCCCCCCCTTGGGGTACCCTGAACCCTACATTACCTGGAAGAAGGACGGGGTGACCTTGGACTTGGTAGGTGGCAGGTACACGGTCACCAAGGGGAAGTTGCAGGTGGCATCGGCACAACGGAGCGACTCCGGTCTCTACATCTGTGTGGCGGCCAATGCGGCGGGCAAGAGGGAGAGCCGGGGTGCCCGCGTCTCTGTGCTGGGTAAGCCAAGGGTCTCCCACCGGGGGTGGGCACGTCACACCCAGCCATGGCGCCACGTCCTTGATGTCCCCCTGCAGAGAAGCCAAGCATCGTGCGGCACCCAAGCGACGCCGTGGCGGTGCCCGGCAGCACCGTGGAGCTGGGTTGCAGCGCCCGAGGTGACCCAGCGCCACAGGTGCAGTGGCACAAGGAGCATGGAGACCTGCCCTGGGGCAGGTAGGTGGTGGCAGGGGGGACATGTCCCATCCCTGGCGTGGGGATGAGGCTGATGGAGAGCTGGTGACCCACAGGCACGAGGTGGACCGGGAGCACACTCTGCGCCTCTACGCCGTGACGTCCGCCGATGCCGGCGCGTACGTGTGCACAGCGCAGAGCCAGCTGGGCACCGCCGCCGCCACCACCTTCCTCCACATCGAGGGTCAGTGTGGGACCTCCGTGGCCTCCACCATCACAGGCACCCAGGCCCATCTTGGGGTTCATGCAAGGGGATCCATCTAATGGGGTTGATCCAAGGACAGTCTGTCCATGGGGGTCCATCCATCATCCATCATCCATCATCCATCAAATAAAGTCCATCCAGCTAAGACATTTGAGGGGATCCATCAAAAAGAGAACTTCCAAAAGTATGTCCATCTAAACACATCCATCCAACAGGATCCATCCAAGAAGGTCCATGTAAGTGGAGCCATCTAAGGAAATGCATTGAGGTGGGAGTCCATCCAAGGGGATTAATTCAGAGTCACCCTTCTAAAGGGGATCCAGCCAACTTGGTTCCTCCAAGAGGATCCATTTAAGGGGATCTATGGAAGGTGGAAGTACATTAAAGGGAGATAGAACAACAAATATCCATCCAAAGGGACATCATGGAGAAGTATGTCATGGGATCCCATCCCATGTCTTCAGGGGCAACACATCAAAGGAGGCCCCTCCAAGAGGGGTCCATTCAAGACAGACCCATCAAAGGGTGTCTATCCATAAGAGTCCATTTAAGTGAGTCCATCCAGGATCTCCATGTGCAGGTATCTGAGGGGGATGTCTGGGCAGGTGCCTGGGGATCTTGGTCCTGCCTGATGCTGCCATTTGCCTTCTCCTGCCTCACAGACCGGCTGGCAACAGGCCAGCAGGAGCCTGCCCCACGGGACCTGCTGGCCGTGCGGCTGCACCTGGACAACGGCACTGCACTGCCCACTGCTGCTGTCCAGCTCCGCTGGCAGGTTGGTGTGATGATCTGCTTCCCCCAGGGGAGGGGGGACGGGACACATCTCCGTGTCCCACCTTAACTTGGGATCCTTCCCATCTCCTTCAGATGCTGATGCCGGTGCCGGTGCCTGTGGGCTACGTGGTGCTGTACCGCAGCCTGCTCCCGGTCGCCACCTCCTGGGTCCAGCACGATGCAGGCAGGGAGCTCAGCACCATCATCCCTGCGCTCCGCAGGGGCTACAAGTACGAGTTCAAGGTCCGACCCTACACCGGAGGGAGCCAGGGCTCAGACAGCAACAGCAGGCACCTCTGGATACCCGAGGAAGGTGCGTCGTGTGTCCCCCGGGATGTCTGGGTGGTGGATGGGGAGGTGGCTGGGGGTCCCAGGGGTCTCAGCATCCCTGTCCCGGCAGTGCCAAGTGCGGCGCCCCAGCGTGTCACTGTCAGCCAGGCTGAGGCAGGGAACGGCACCGTGGTCGTGAGCTGGGAGCCGCCTCCTCCTGAAGCACACAATGGCGTCATCCGGGGCTACCAGGTTTGGGACAATGGGGCAAGTGGGCAGGGCAGGGATCTTCTGGCCAAGGAGGATCAATCCAAGGGGATCCATCCAAAAAGGGAGCCTGTCAAAGGTGGGGGTCTATCCAAGGGGGGCACCATCCAAGGAGTCAGTCCAGGAGGGGGTTCATCCAAAGGGGCCAGCCAGGGTGGGGGTCCCTCCCAGGGCATCTGTCTAGCGGCATCCAAGGGAGCTCATCCAAAGGAGTCCAGCCAAGGGGGTCCATCCAAAGGGGGGGTCCATCATGGGGGTCCATCCAAGAAGTATTCACCCGAGGAGGTCCATCCTTGGGGCATGCAAGGGAGCCCACCCAAAGGGGTCCTGCCAAGGGAAGTCCATCAAGGAGATTCGTCTAAGGGCACCCATCCAAGTGAATCTGTCCATGGGGGATCCATCAGTGGGAGTCTGTCGGGGGATGTTCGTCTGAAGGAGTCCGTCCAAGGGGGTCCATCCACAGGGGGTCCATCCACAGAGGGGCCATCAAGGATAATTGTCTAAGGGGACACATCCTCTTGGTGCCTGCCAGGTCTGGTCAATGGGTGAGGGCTGGCAGCATGCCACCAACAGGACAGTGGACGGAGCTACCCGCCGCCTGGAAACTCTCCTCCCACACCCCGGGGCCGAATTCTGTGTCCAGGTGGCAGCTTTCAACAGCGCAGGGCTGGGGGTTCCCAGCAATGCCACCTGTGGAGTCCTGGGTAGGAGGGGAGCAAGGTGGGGTGCGGGTGGGGGTCAAGGTGGTGACATGAAGTGACACTGATGGGACTCTTGTAGGGCTGACAGCAGGGAGCAGCAGGGTGGTCCAGGCACTGCGGCAGCCTGCTGTCATCGCAGCCGCTGGTTCCATGCTCTGGTTGGCCTTACTCGCCCTCCTCCTCCTCCTCTGCCAGCGCCGCGCCAGCCAGGACGCTGCAGCTCGACACAGGTGAGGCCATGGGGTGGGGGACACAGCAGATCCCTGATGTGGTGGGGACTGATGCACTGACAGCACCTCTTGCCCTACAGGCTGGTGGCTGCTGACTCGCCATGGCTTGGTGGTCCCTGGAAACCCAGCTGTGCCCCCCGAAACCTCAGCAGCAGCAGCACCCTCAGCAGCCGGCTCCTGGGCAGTGATGGCAGGGACCCCCACCCCTCCAGTGAGCCCCATGGGGACTGGAATCCTCACCCACTGCCATGGGATCCCCACCCCTCCAGTGAACACCAGGGTTGGGACCCCCACCTAGTGCCATAGAGCCCCCCACTCTCCCCACCAGTACTATGGGACCCCGTCAATCCCATGTGATGCCACTGGATCCCCACCCAGTTCCATGGAACCCTGACCTGCTGCAACAAGGCCTCCAGCCCAGGCCTAGGACCCCCACAGAGTGCCACGGGACCAGCAAAGTGTACCCAAGACCCCCACCCTATGCCAGGGACCCCCAGTGCCATGGGACCCTCGCAATGGTGTTCCCCATTGTCTGTCTGCAGGCATCAAGGACACACAGACCCAAGGGCAGAGGGGACAGGGGACACATGGCCTCATGGGTGCCCTGACCTCTCTTACTCTTCCAGCCCTCTCCTTGGAGCCGCCGAGCCTCGGCCCCCCCACGCCCCCCATCCACAGCGGCCTCCGAGGGGGACAGCCACCACCCCCTGGGGACATGGGGTGCTGCGCTGGGGGGCACCCCGGGGTGCATTCCTCGCCCAGCAACCCAAACCCAGCACCCTGGGAGCGTGTTCGCAAGAGAGGTGGGTGTGGAGGGCACATGGGGGGACGTGGGGGACACCAGGATAGTGGCCCATGGCTCTGTGTCTCTCTCTCCCCTCGCAGAGCTGCACCAAGTGCACAGCACCCCTGTGCTCATAGCTGGCCCCAGCCACATCCCTGCCACTGGAAGTGGAGGCGAGTGGGGGGCGGATTTTGGGCTGGCAGCCAGGCAGCCTCAGCAAAGGGGACACGAGGGTGACACCACCGCTGCCGTGACGGACAGCAGGGACCCAGGGCTGCCGGTCTTCAGCTCTCCAAAACCACATCGGGGCAGCAGCTCACTGGCCTCTGGTGTGACCACGTCACCAGTGACACCCCCGAGACCACCCCATGCCTGGCACCCTCCAGTGAAACGGTGAGTCTGGGTGTCCCCATCCAGGTGGGTGCCCTGCAACACAACCCTTTGCTGCAAAACCCAGCATGTCCCTTGCACCTGCAGGTCACCGACCTTCGTGTGCCCCAGGGACACATCTCTGGTCACCAGGCATCCCAAGGACATGACTCCAGTCACTAAGATCCCCAGGGACATGTCCCCAGTCACTGAGAGCCCCAGGGGTGTGTCACCGGCCACCAGGAACCCTAGGAACGTGTCCTTGGTCACTGAGCACCCCAAGGACACGTTCCTGGACAGCAGGAATCCTAAGGATGTGTCCTCAGTAAGGACCCCCAGGAACATGTCACCAGCCACCAGGCACCACAAGGATCCATCACCAGCAGCCAAGCACCAGAGGGACACAGTCTTGACCACCAGGCACCCTGAGGACACCTCCGTGGTCACCAGGTGCCCCAGAGACCCATTACCTGTAGCCAAGTGCCAGAGGGACATCTCACTGTCCACCAGGCACACCAAGGACATGTCCCCAGCCAGCAGGCACCCAAAGGACACATCCCCAGGCACGAGGCTCCCCAAGGAGGTGTCACCAGCCACTAGGCACTGCAGGGACAAGTTCCTGGCCTCCAGGTATGCCAAGGACCTGTCCCCAGCCAACAAGTACCCCAGGGAGCCATCTCTCATGACCATGCACACAAGGGACATGTTCCTGTGCAGCAGGTCCCCTGAAAACATGTCACCAGCCTTGAGGCATCCCAATGACACATTGCCAGCCACTGGGCACCCCAGGGACACGTCCCCACTCACCAGGCACCCTGAGGAGATGTCACCAGTCCCTGAGCATCACAGGGACAAGTTCTTGGACACCAGGTACTCTGAGGACATGTCTCAGGCCACCAGAAACCCCAGGGACCCATCACTGGTGGCCATGCACACAAGGGATGTGTCCCTGTGCAGCAGGTACCCTGAAAACATGTCACCAGCAATAAGGCATCCCAAGGACACATCTCCAGCCACCAGGCACCCCAGGGACACATCTCCAGCCACTAGGCACCCCAGAGACACATCTCCAGCCACTGGGCACCCCAGGGACACATCTCCAGCCACCAGGCATCCCAAAGAGGTGTCTCCAGTCAGTGGTCACCAGAAGGACATGTTCTTGGACACCAGGTATCCCAAGGACTTGTCCCCAGCCACCAACCACATCTGGAATGTGTCACTGGAGGCCAGGCACTCAAGGGACATATTCCTGGCTACCAGGTACACCAAGGACATGTCCCTGGCCACCGGGCGTCTCTCGCCAGCATTCAGTGACGGGGTCCTCACACAGCAGCAGGTGGCTGAGGTCCTGGAGATGGAGCAGGACACTACCTGCTGCAGGTATTCCCCATCCCCCTGGGACACTCCCATGAGTGCTGCATCCCCTGGTGCCAGCAGTACCCCCACTGTGTTCCCCACAGACCCCCGGCACCGACCACACCACGGTCCTTCTCACCACCGCACACCTACGGCTACATCTATGGGCCACCAGCCTCTGAGCTAGGTGAGGAGGAGGAGGAGGAAGAGGAGGAGGAAGAGGAGGAGGAGGAAGAGCGTACAGCAACAAGGGGCTCGCCAGGAGGATCGCTGCTGAACGGCTGGGGGTCTGTCTCAGAGGACAACTTTGCCAGCACCCGCTGCAGCTTGGTGAGCTCCTGCGACGGCTCCTTCCTGCTGGACGCCAGCTTTGCCCGGGCACTGGCCGTGGCTGTCGATGGCCTCTGCTACAGCCTTGAGGACACTGATGGGGCCTACGGGGGTGAGTGAAGGTCCCTGAACCCCCTCTCTGACCCTGAGCATTGTCACCTCCTCAAGAATGATGGCTCCGTTGGGACACCATGGTGATGCCACCAGCTCTTGCCTTCTTCCCTGCAGGTCCCTCACCACCACCATCACCCTTGGAGCAGGTCTTCCCACCCGGAGTCCCCTCTGCCACCTGGGACTGGTGGACCATGCTGGAGGTCCCACAGAGAGCCAGGACAGAGGCAGCCGTGAACAGTCGCTCACAGAATGGTGCGCAGTGCCCCAGTGCCAGGGTGGTGGGCATGGGGGTGGTGAGGTGTTGCAGGGTGTTGGAAAATGTTTCCTTTCCTTTCCAGGTGGCCAAGGGTCAGGGATTGGCAGCCCCTGGGCCAGGGAAGGTGGTGAGCTGCGGACAGGAGGGACAGGAGTGTGGCAGTCCCCAGGGCGCAGGACACAGCAAGGCCAGACCCCTTGGCTCAGCTAAAATCCAGCTTTATTAGGCAGTTCCCCAAACAGGGCTCTTTACCAGGAAAAGCTATCCACAAAGAGTGGGTGGCACCTAGGTGGGTGGGTGTCCCCTTCTTCCACAGTTTCCCCATCCCAAATTCCTCTTTTCTTCCCAGCATCCTCATCTTCCCCAAGAGTCTGTATCCCTCTAAGTGTCCTTGTCCTCCCTCAGTGTCCTGCTCCTTCTCCAGCATCCTCATCCTACCTAACTATCCTTCTCCAGCCCAAGCACTGTTGTCCACTCATGTCCTTGTCTTCCCCTAGGGTTGTTGACCCCCTTGACCATCCCCATTCCCACTGACTATTCCCATTGCTCCCAACTGTCCTTGTGATCTCTGCTAGTTCATGTCCTTCCTCAGCATCCTTGTTCCACCTTTTCTATCATTGTCTCTCCCAAATATTCTCAACCTTCCCAAGCCACCTGGGTGGCCTTGTGCTCCCTCTAAATGTTCTTGTCCCTTCTAATCATCCTCATTCCCAGGCTTCTCAGCCCTCCTGAGTGTCCTCATCCTTCACCATTGTTTTGTCCCTCATGCCAAGTGTCCCCACTGTTCTCATTTTCCCACAGCCATCTCCCTTGTCCCTTACTACTGTTCTTGTCCCTCCCAAGCAATCTCATCCCTCCCAAGTGTCCTCTTCCCCCCAGCAATCCTCAATCCCCTAGAAATCCTTGTCCTTCCTCCATGTCCTCTTCCCTCCAGGCATCTTTATCCCCCAGCCTTCCTTGTCCCTCACCAGCACCCTCATCCATCTGCTGTGTCTTTGTCCCCTCATGTAATCTTGTCCCCCACCGAGTGTCCCCTTCCCTTTCAACCACCTCATCCTTCTCAGGCATCCTTGTCCTTTCCCAGCATCCTTGTTCCTCCCAGCTGTCCTTGTCTCCAGGATTCTTCCCCACTTAAGCATCTTCCTCATCCTTCCACAGCACCCTCATCCCTCTTCTGCCTATCTGTCCGAACTGTTTCTGCCCCCAAGGCTCGTGTCCTTCCTTGAGCATCTTCCTTGTCCCTCCTGAGCATCCTTGTCCCTCCCCAGGATCCTCATTCCTTGTGAATTTCTTGCCCCACCCCAAGAATCCATGTCCCCCCCTCACTCTGACGCCCACTGGCCGCGACTTCTGTGCAACCCTATTTCCATGGAACCACTCAGAAATTAAAGAACATCCCTCCGTGTCCCCTGTGTTCCCATCCCCATGTCCCCAACTCTGTCACCGACTCGCCCTCCCTTTTATCGCTTCTCCGGCGGCGGGCAGGGGAAGGGGGCCCCGGGGCGGCGGCCGTGCCCGGTCCCCTCGCCGCGGTCCCCGGGGGTCCGGCTGCGCCCCGAGCCGTGGCCGCGGGAGCCGCTGGAGCCGCGGGACGAGACGCTGCCGGTGGTGGAGCAGCTGCCAGACACTTGCCCGCGGGGCAGGCAGGAGGGTTTGCTGTAGGGGCTGGCCTCATCTGCAGGGGAGGGGACAACGCTGGGGCTCGGCAGTGACACCCCCAGCCCTTGCGAAGCGCGGTCGGGGGCTCTGGCTTACCGCCGCGGGCCGGGCGGGGGGTGACCCTGCGCTCAGCCCCGCTCGGCTCCAGCTCCGGAGCGGCGCCGGGGGTCTCGCCGGGCGGCGGCAGCGGCGGCGGCGGCAGGTCTGCGGCAGAGAGGGAGGAGAGGGCTCAGCTCCCCCGAGCCTCCTGAACGCCCTGGCTTTTTCCTCCCGCTCACCTCCCGTCTGCTTTTCCCGGCGGTAGCGGCTGCATTTGGGCTTCAGGCGACTTTTGGAGATCACCCCGCGGGTTTTCCCTGGGGAGGTGGGGATGGCAGCGTCAGCCCCCTCAACAGCCAGTGAGGCCCCCACCCACTCAGACTGGCCCCTCGGGGCTCACCTGTGCCAGGAGGGCAGAGGGCTCGGGGTGGGTGGCCCTCGCTGGCATCCGGAGTCACCGAGGGGCTGGGTGCCTGTGGGGGGATGCTGACACCGTGGGGGGGTCTCCTGGCAAAGAGGGGGTGGAGTGAAGGGTGGGGGGAGTGGCATGGGGGCTCAGTGGCCACCACAGTGCTGGCACAAGCCCTCTAGAGCTGTGCCAGAGCCAGAAGAAGCCATGTGGTATTGTCACAGCTGGGTGGCAGTGGTGTAGGTGGGCTGAAGCATCACAGCTGTGTAGAAGAGCCACAGCTGGATCACAGCTGGGGGGCAAAGGGGAGCTGGATGAGTGCAGTGGCTCAGCTAGGGTGGAGGACCAGAGCCTGGCAAGGCTGTGATAGCATAGCTGGCCTGCAATGGCACATCTGGAGCACAGCTGGATAGAGGCTGCTCAGCTGTTTTACAGCCACACAGCTGGACTGCAGTGGCACAGCTGGACCACCACACATCTGGATTGCAAGCACACTGGCAGATTGCAGTGCACAGCTACATCATGACACACCTACATCGTAGCACAACTGAAATGCAACCATGCAGCTCGGTTGCAGCTGCCCAGCTGGAGTGCACAGCTGGATATTGCAGCTGCACAGCTGGAGTGCAGTGACATGCCAGCACTGTGATGGCACAGGTGGATCATGGCAGAGCTGGGCCACAGCAGTACAGCTGCATGGTGATGGCCCATCTGTCTCGTGATGGTGCAGCTGTATTGCAATGCCCCAGTCACCATCAATGTCATGGATGTGTCATGACAACATGGCCAGAGCACAGCTGGAGAGCAAGGGTGGATGGTGACACCATGCATAGATCGTAAGAGACATCTGAACCGTGGTAGGACCATGGTAGGACATCCAGACTCCATTGGGGCATCCAAACCCAAATGGCATGGTCAGACCATGGTGGCACAGCAGGACCAGATCATGACAGAGTGGCTGGATTGTGATGGCCATGGTGGGACATCCAGAGCCTGATCCAGAGTCCAGTGGGAAGGCCAGACTATGGTGGGACAGTGGAACTGGATCATGTAAACATGACTGGGCATGACATCCAGAGCTCAGTGGGACACCTGGAGCTCAGATGACATATCTGGACCTCAGCAGCATGGCTGGAACATGACAGCATGGCAGAGCCAAATGGTGACAAAATGGCTGGGTTGTGATGGAACATCTGGACCATGGTGAGGCGTCTTGACTCCAACAGAACATCTGGACCCCAGTGAGACACCTGGACCCTAATGACACAGTTGGACCATGATGGCATGGCAGGGCTGGGTAGTGACAACGCGGCTGGATCGCAATGGAACACCCAGGCCATGGTGGGACATCTGGACTTCGATGGGACATCTGGACCCCAATGGGACATCCAGACCCCAATGGCACGGCCATACCAAGCAAGGCCCATCTCCTACCGGGGCAGGAGGGAGCTATCGAAGTCGCGGAGGCGAGGGATGTCCTCGGTGGTGCGAGGTGATGGTGTCAGCGTGGCGGTGGAACGGCAGCCGGAGGAGGTGGTGGGTGAGGATGCAGCAGTGGCACAGGGGATGTCCTCACCAGGGTACCACACCTCCATCCCCAACCTGCAGGGTGGAGACCACAGGGTAGCTGCTGGGGGCAGCATGTCCAGCCCCCAAGCCCCCACACTCACCCTCCAGCTGCCTCTTCCTCTTCATCCTCCTCTTCCTCCTCCTTCTCCTCCTCCTGGGCACACTGGCTGAGCTCACTGGCTGAAGGCGGCGGGGGCAGCAGCTCTGTCCAGCTCACTGCCGGCGGTTTCACTGCTTGCCCCAGCTTTGCTCTGGCCCCTGTGCCAAGGAGGGATGCTGGGGGGGCTGTGGGGAGGGCACCACACCACGAGCACCCACGTGTGCCCCCACCCGTCCAACCACCCTACCGTGCTCAGCCCGGCCACGGGGCACCTGGGAGGCTGCAGCATCCATTGGCTGGGAATCCCCCCCAGGGTAGGAGGTTCCATACTGTGAGAAGGGACGGGGGAATGTGCAGAGCTCCTCACTGTCAACCTCGATGGTGCTGTAAACCGGCCCCTCGCCAGCCCCCGCTCCAAACTGTTCCGTCTGGGCGATGTAACGGGTGATGCCGGCATCTGCAGAGGGTGACCAGCATCATCAGGGCTGATCATGAACCCCTCAAGAGCCACCCAGCCCCATGCTGACCCCTCACCATTGTAGTATCTCTCAGTGGACCCCAAACACCCGGCAGAACTGGCTGTGCTGCCACCACGCCATGCATCCACCAGCCACGGGTAACCACCGCCAGCAGCTGCCCTGCAGGGGGATGGGGTGAAGGAATGCTCGTGGTCAGCCCTGGGGCTCCTGGGCAGGGCAGGGGGTGCCGGGGGGGTTACCTGGGGTTGCTGCGCACTGGAGCCGGGAAGGCGACTGTGGAAAGAGACGGGGGTGAGGGCAGCGAGAGGCCGTACTGGGACCCCGCAGCACTCATGGGCTTACCGGTGGGTGTGTAGGCAAAGGATGCTGTAAAGAGAGGGACGGTGGGTGGCTGATGGGTGAGGGGTGAAGGGTGAGAGGTCCCAGGGGTAGCACCCCCCTGTACCGGTGAAGTGGCTGAGCTCCTTCTTCCTCCGGCGGCGGCTGTAGAGCCAAGCAGCAAAGGCGGCGAGGATGACCCAGCAAGCGCCACCAACGCCGGCAATGAAGGCTGGCTGCCTGGCTACCTCTGCTAAATGCTCAGTCAAGCTGCTCCCAGCTGCTGGCCCCACATCTCGCTCCACCAGGGGGGCTGCAAGTGACACGGGAAAGAGGGACACACCGGCGGGGTGCCAGGGAGCCATCCCCAGCACCGCAGTGGGTGACCCCATCATGCCCCACCCATGGGTGCCAGTTGTGACAATGAGGGACTCACCGATGTGGATGGGGACAGGGGCACTGCGGGCACCCACACCAGCACTGGTGGCAGCGGCAACCTCAGCACGGTAAGGGACCCCGGGGACAAGTCCCTGCAACACTGTCGCCAGCACCGTCCCCTCCACGCTCTGGTTGATGTGGAAGCGGCTCTCATTGCCCAAGCACCAAATCTGGTGGGGACCAGGAGGAAAAGATGAGGAACACCCATGAGGACGCCATGACATGGTGTCATGAGTGGATGGAGTGGAGCTGCCACATGCCTGCTGCTGTCCACGCTTACCCGGTAATCACGGATGACCCCATTCTGCTCTGCCAGAGGTGGTGGCTGCCACGAGATGCGGACACTGGTACCATTCCCAGCCACACTGACAGCTCCTGGTGGGGCACTGGGGGCTGCCCGTGCAGGACACATGGGGTATCACCTCCAGGTTGTCCCCAGGGACCCTCACTATCCCCTCCATCCCCGCACTCACCCGCTTCAGGGGTGCGCAGAGCCCGCACAGCGCTGTCGGGACCATGGAGGTGATGAAAATAGGGTCGGACCTTGACCTCGTAGTCCTGGCCCCGGCGCAGCTCGGTGAGCAGGGCCCCCCGCTCCCCTGGTGCCCACACCGTCTGTGCCTCCTCCCAGCGCCCGCCGCGCTGCCGGTACAGCACCCGGTAGCCCTGAAGGAAGGGTGCCTGGTGCTCCACCTGAGGAGCCGAGGGAAGGGTGGGATGGGGGGATGATCGACACCAGGAGCCCTGTACTGGTAGGGAGGCTCAGCACTCACGGTCCAGGAGAGGTGGACGGTGCCCAGTGGCAGCACCACAGGTTCCTTCAGGTGCACAGCCACTTGTGCCAGCTCCTGCTGCACCTGCTCAGGATCCAGCCCTTGCTGCATGGGGTTGGTGTCTGCTGGAAACATGAGAGAGTGGAGAGTCCATGCATATCTCCACTGGTGTCACCAAGGGAAGGAGTCATGCTGACCCATACCCATGGGAAACTCCATTGGCATCACTGGGCAAGGATGGACCCAAAAATTTTGGGTGCACGGGCACCTCCATTGGTGTCACCAAGTGGAGATGGACCCAAGGGTGGGGGGTTTGTGGACACCTTCACTGATGTCACTGCTGGGTCTCACCTTGGGTGCGCACAGGCTCTGAGACGCCGCTGGGGTCACTGAGCCCGTAGGCATTGACTGCCCGCACCAAGAACAGGTAGACAGTGTCAGGGACAAGGCCAGTCACTGTGTGGGTCTCACTCTCCACATCAGCTGCCACTGTCTGCCACGGGCCACCCACTGCCTGGCTGCCGGGGGACAGGGGTGACTTGTGACAGGGTGGTATCAGGCCACCACGTCATCCCTGCAGCCAGAGAAGAGGCTTGTGTGATACCTGAAAGCCTCCACTAT